CTATGTTCTACAGTCCCAGAAGCCATCTAATGCATCACAAAACAGCACAAAATGATTTTTTACATGGAAAGGTAGTAGGACATGGAATGCTTCAGGAAAAACAGACACGACATAAATTTTTATTAGGCTTCATAAGGAAGCTGAACAAACATTTGATAAAAGAAAGTTTTAAATGACTATGGGAAAAAAGGCAGAAAATGGGGCTTAGAGATTAGATATTTTAGACAGCTCAATGTGTCAAATAATCTTTTTTGAGTTCTGTGAAATTCTATACTGTATAATATGTAGTAATATGACATATGAGGAATACTGATTTAAAAATTATTAACTGAGAGCATTTTAGGAGCAAAGTTCCGTAAAACATCATAAACAGTAATGTCTTTGTAACAACTGAAGCATGACTGACACCTACCAGAAAAGTTCAAAGTAGACAGTCTTTGAAATTAGTGGAGCAAATTTAATTTGCTTACAGACTTTTGACAATGTACCTCCTCAGATAATATGAATTGTGACACTTCACTAACTGTCTTAACAACTACCAAAACTTGGCATAACGTTTATGTGAGGTTTTATTTACCACATGGCGTTTGGCTCAGAAGAACTGGGAAAAAAAAGTATATCCTTAAAATTGGCAGCTCTTGGATACCACGAATGCCAAAAGATTAGGACACTTGTTCCTCAGAAACTGGCTGACAATCTTTGTGTTCTCAGGACAAAACCATGTTGTGGGAGCCTTGCAGGATAACCTGATGTGACAATCAAGCTACTTCAGCTCTGTCTCTGGCAACTAGGTTAACTATATTTAATAAACTTGGAAAGTACCTTGATTATTGATTGATTGATTGATTTATTGTCATGTGTACTGAAATACAGTGAAAAGCTTTGTTTACGAGTGGTACAGGCAGATCACAGCAAGCAAAGGATGTACAGATCAAAAAGACTTAGAAGCATACAGGTTACAATATTTGAGGCTGCAGTCCATTCAAAAGTCTGATAACGACTGGAAAGAAGCTGTTTCTGAACCGGTTCCTACATGTGTTCAGGCTTGTGTATCATTTGCCTAATGGAGGAAGTTGTAGGAGATCATTATCAGGGTGCGATTGGTTTTTGATGATGTTGGCCACCTTTCTGCAGCAGTGAGCCATGTAAATAGAGTCCATGGATGGAAGGTTGGCATCCACAATAGTCTGGGCTGTGCACATAACGTTTTTTAGTTTCTTATGGTCCTGGGCAGAGCAGTCGCCATCAGCAGGCTGTTATGCACCCAGACAGTATGCTTTCAATAATGCATCTGTAGAAGTTGGCGAGGGACCTTATGGGCATGCCAAATTTCCTGAGCCGCCTGAGGAAGAAGAGGTGTTGTTGTGCCTTCTTGACTGTCACATTTACATAGCAAGTCCACGACAGGTCGTCGGTTATCATCACCACAAAGAACTAGTTTTGTCACCATCTGCCTTTGCCGTGATTTTTTTTATATACCAGATAACAACTTGTACTGCTACAAAGTAGAGTTTAAAAAATTCAGCAAGGAGATAGAGAAAACTGAGATTCTCCATCGGCCTTCAGTAACCAAATTTAAAGTGACTAACCAGGCATCATAAATAATGACATATTAAAACTATATTTCTTAGCTGAACTCCCTATCCAACACTAGCCCATTCTACGTAACCCAGTGTTGCTTGGTGTGTTTCAGCCAGAATAAGATGGATAACTTAAATAGCGAGATCTTTTGGGTAATTTTAACTGAATGGCACAAATCCTAAACATCTGAGGTACCCCTATTGGTGTAACATTCTCTTTCTAAAGGGTGATCTGGATAGCAAGATAATGCTATTATTTCTAGAAATTTGTAATTCTTTTAAATCCATAAGCAGGGAGGGTTGGCATGATAATGTTTTTGTGTTTCCCAGTAACAAAAAAATTGGTTCATTTGAGGATCTGCAGCACAGTGGGTTGAGGGTACAAATATTTTGAGATTTAGTTTAAAAACATGAAGACATTAATAACGTAATGCAATTTGCAGGGTGTTCATTATATTAAGTTTCTACTGTGGATCTTCATGTGACTGAGCACATCAAACTGCAGCACTTTGAGCACATAGAGCAGGATGTCCCGTACACAGGGATTTAGAATTACTTGTTTCTCTTTTACAATAAAGATGTTATGATGCAAAGTGCAATGAAGATCAATGTAAAAGTTGTCATAATGTTTCATGATTGGTAGCAAGCTCCTCCCAATCATTAATATCAACGCCACTCTGCTTCAAGGAGAGCTTCATGGTGCCTTTGTTGTATTTTCTTTGTCCAGTCCTGGATTACTTGTCATTTGAAAGTTCAGTACACAGAACCTAGCTTTTGTTGACTTGCAGAGGTCTTTGATGTCAAAATCTCTCTGCCATAGTTTGTAGAAGGCTGAGCTGGCAAAGCTAATCGAGTTTAGGATCTCCTCATCAATGGTTCCCTTTTGATGAGGTGGCTTCCAAGGCATGGAAAGTGATCACTTATATTCCATCGTCTCCCCTTTAACATATGGCAGGTGGAGTATTTAACTGACCAGATCTGGGTTGATATGAGAGTTTTATTTTGGCAATATTCAAGGACAGGCCAAGTTTCTTGTATGCAGCATTTAAAAGATCAAGGGTGGTTTGAAATCCAGCACAGAATGAGCACTGACACAGCTGAATACTGCAGGTCATATGTGTCTCTGGTAGCCAGTTTAGTTTGGCATGGAGATGACTTAGGTTAAAGTATTTTTAATCAGACAGTATTTAATACTCACACCAGAGGATAGTTTATCTTTGATGAGGTGAACAATCACTATCAGGTAGATTGTAAATAATATGAGGGCGACCAAACAGCCTTGCTTAACATCAGTCTAGATTTTAAAGGCGTCTCCCACGCTACACAACTGTAATCATATCATCATGAAGTAATTGCAGGATTGTTATGAAGTTTCTTGGACAGCCAGATTTCTGAAGAACAATCCACAGAGCTTCCTGATTTACTGAGTCAAATGCTTTGGTCAGGTATATAATTACAATGGAGAGTTCCTGGTGCTGTTCTTGACATTGTTCTTGGAATTGCCTGTCGGCAGAGAGAGTATGTAGTAGATTCCTCTGAAAGGTCTAAAACCATACAATGTCGCTGACAGGATTTCCTCAGCCATAGGAAGTAGGTGACCAGGAGAATGCACATCAGGGTTTTCCTTGCTATGGACAACAGAGAAACATTTTCTACAAGATGATTTATCTCCCTTTTTGAAGATAATTATAACTGCTACATTCTTGAAATAAGGTTATTTTTTTCTCCCAAATATGCAGGATGAGTGCATGAAGCCTTGAATTGATCAAAAGCCCACCAGCTTTGAAGACCTCAGCTGGAATACCATTAGGACTGCAGGCTTTGTTAATGTTCATCTGCTTGATTGCTTGTTGCAGTTCTTCCGGAAATGGTGGGTCACCCATGGATTGTGCCACAGGGTTCTAGAGCTTTGCATGTTGTGGCAGGCAGTGTACTGTTTGATTTCTCAAGCTTTCTCTTCCCGCCACTTGTCTTTTATGCTCTGAATTTGTCTTTTAGCATCAACTTTGTGCTGTTAGAATTCTGCCTCCTTGACTTAGAAACTTTCGGTTGTTCTGGCAGGCAATGAACATTGCCTGTTTTTCTTCCAGAATATCATATGCTTCAACATTAACTTTATTGAACCAGTCCTGGTGATGACAATGATCAGGACAGAATGTTTAGTACAGCTGACTCTATTTGATCCCACTGTTCTGGAATTGAGTTGTGTGTAAAGATTCTCCAGAATGACTTTGAGCAGCTTTTGCCAAAGACATCTGCTCTTCAGTTGGAATGCCTTAGGGTTGAGATGTTGATCTTCCTTCTGTTAGATTTTTGGGTCCTGCGATGTTCCTTTGCAGGGTGGATGTTCATTACTAATCAAACAACTTGATGACCAGTCTAGCAGGCAGCCGTCCCCAGATAGATTAAGTGTTACAGATAGAACTTAGATCAGGACTTCCCAAAGTAGGGATCTTGGGATTGTGAAATATGAGGCTGCAATGGCCACTGTGTAGCTCTGAGTTACAGCAGCTGCATTACTGCCTTCGGGAAGCTCTCAGAGCTCTCACTTCAGGTTAGTGTTATTTTTCAATCTTGAAAGTGGGGTCAAAGTGGGGAAAGGTTTCAGAAACACTGACTTAGATCTTCGACTTGAACAATTACATAACTGAAGAGATGCTGATGCATTGACCTAGGATACTTTCATGTACTTTTGTATTTGTGATTGTTATTTTGGCATTATATGGTGTTTGTTTTATCAAAGCTATGCTGAGAATACTTTATCAGCAGAAAGATATAATTTGCATTAGTTTTTCCCACCTTATTTTTCCAAATAGTCCTTCTCCAGACACCGGAGTCAACGCTGGCATTTATAGAGGGGGTTTGGTGGCATAGTGTTAATGTCAATAGTCTAGTAATCCAGAGACCCAGGTTTATTCTTTGAGGACATATTTTCGAATCCCATCATGGCAACTGGTAAATTAAGTAAATTAAAATAATAAAATACAGATATGATGGGCTGAATGGCCTCCTTCTGTACTGTAAAATTATATGATTTTATGAAAACTTGTAATTGAGAGGTGGCCTCAGTAACTCCAACAACATTCAAGGAGCATGACACCAAACAGGACAAAACTGCTTGACTGGCACAACACCTTGTCCTTCAACATTCTCCATCCTCCACCAATGCACAGTGGCAACAGTCTGTATTGCAGCAACCCATCAAAGCTCCTTTATCAGCACCTTCTAAGCGTACAATCTCTAAAGTTTGCTTGAGGATCAGGAACTGTTTATGTAAAAGTTTTGTCCATAGATTAAATTGGCTATAGACAGTAATAAGGTAAAATTTATGTGGTCAATGGTAGGAGCGAACTTGACTTCTCATTAAACCCTTGCATATTTTCCTGCATTATAAATATTCAAAATGCTGCAGCCTCTCACCTGATTGACATGTGGAATGATGTCACAATCTTCCTTCAGCTGCTCTAAATGAGAAATGAGGAAATTGCTCACTCCAATGGATCGACATATCCCTATAAGAAACAACGTGCCAGAGAATTAGTTACATGTCAGAGGATATCCTGTAAAGTACTTTCAGCATTGCAAAGATGCAGCTGCAGCAGTATATTGGACAATAGAAATTTTCAGAGAAGAGCAAGAACTCCATGAGTGAAGGTCCAAGTAGACACCATATTTTAAATGCCTGTTCCATCCAAACCCCTTTAGGAAATAGTTTTCTAATACAAACATACTGCAGCTTCCTGATGAATCATGTTAAGGGCTGGGAAAATTTAATGAGGCATAAGCAGAAAAAAAACAATTAGAAATGCGTCAGCATCAAAAGAAGGAAACTATGTTTTGTGCACTTGCCAAATTTATACGCAACTATAAGAATGAGGAACAAATGAGAGGGTCACAAGCAAGGACAAAGAGTTCCTAACAATCACAAACATATTGGCTCTGTGACAGTACTGATTGTGCTGGAGTTTCGTATAATATCCAGTGAAATCTAAATAAGTCTAGCATTGACAGCCAAGTATTAAGGTTAAAAGTTTAATTATAAACAAAGAGACCAGGGAGTTTTAACAGTATTTTGACTTTTAGCCTTAAATAGTATTAATAAAGCCAAAAGTTTTCTTCTTTTCCCAAAAGATAGTCAAAATACAATTTTTGCTGGAATTAATAAACACTAATAAATTTCAATGACATTTTTAAAACATAGAATTCATGGGAATGCGTGTGTTCCAGCAATTCAGCAATATGTTGTACATTACAGTATGCTGTATATTTGAAATATTAATAGAAAATGGCAGAAAAGCATAGTAAATATTTAGAAGAGAATAAAAAGTTAGTGTATTTGTTAATAAAAGCAGAAATTGCTGGAGAAACTCAGCAAGTCTGGCAGCATCTGTAGGAAGAAAGCAGAGTTAACTGCTGAAGAATCACCGGATCCAAACTGTTAACTATGCTTTCTTCCCACAGATGCTGTGAGACCTGCTGAGTTTTTCCAGCAATTTCTGTTTTTATTTCAGATCTCTAGCATACACGGTTCTATGTTTTATTTTCATCAAGACTTGCAAAGTTACTTACTCAAATCATTAACTTACTTTTCTCATTCAGGCGCCTGTAGCTTTCCAGTTTAAATTAAAATCTTTTGATATCACTGCATAATCATATTATTATTATACAATATTCACACATTTACCTTTCTAAATGAATAATGATAACCAATTGTTGTGCCTTTCACTAAAGAAACTCACCACTGGATTCACAGCAGGCAGGCACAACTGAGTTACCTTTATTTACATCTGTTCAATGGAACAGGGATTAATTCTTACGAAGTACTGCACTAAAAGAAACAACTTATACAAAAAATGTAAAATTTACGTGAATGTAAATTCTCACATTAAAATAGGATTAAATCAACATCAACAAGACCTTAAGATGTAATCAAAACCAAAACAGATAAGACCATTATTTCCAGAGAAATTAAATGTAAAAACAAATTTCTTGACACCACCATGTCATTCACAAAAATATCATCTATTGACAAAAAGTAATAAAAAGAACAATTTATTTATTTTTCCTTCCTGCATACATTATCTGTTTTGAAGAAGGGTGACACGAAATGTTAACTCTGTTTTCTCTCCGCAGATGCTGCCAGACTTGCTGAGTTTCCCCAGCAATTTCTGTTTTTGATTTAAATTATCCTGTCTGGCTTCTTTCTCTTTCTGTCTGGGAGTGTCTTTCCATTTTCATTAACTTGATTCTGCTCTCTTAATCTGAATTTTGACTTTTAATGGTTGAAACTGTGATGGTTATTGATTAGTCTTCATAGAATCCCTACAGTGTGAAAGCAGACCATTCCGCCCATTGAATCCACACTGATCTTATGGAGAGCATCTCACCCAGACCCATGTGGCCCGCTAACCTATCCCTGTGACCCATGGCCAATCCACCTAGCCTGCACATCTTTGGACTGTGGGAGAAAACTGGAGCACCTGGAGGAAACTCACGCAGACATGGGGAGAATGTGCAAAGTCCACACGAATTGAATTGAATCTGGAATTGAACCTGGGTCCCTGGAGCTATTGTTTTGCCCGGTCTTCAGCAAAACCCTTTACTCTACCGATGAACAGTGTAATACAGTAAAGTCCTGACATTTGGGAACCTACCTTTTGAAAATTTGCTTATCTGTGCAATACTTGCAGGGTGCCTTTTCAGCCACTGCCACCCCAATGTTCACACATCTGTGGTATTTTGGGAGTAAATGTGTACACTGAATGGTGGCATTTTAGTGTATATCAGCAAATTTTCAGCTTCTTTTTGATTTTCACTTTGGGAGGTAGCAGGAACTTAGATTATCGATCTCTTCTTTTCAGATTTCAGTTTTAAAGCAAATTATCTGTATAACACGAATGGAGTCTGTCTCCAGTCTTCATGAGATATGTAAATGATCCCAGTCTCTTTACAACAAAGCCAAACACATACTTGGCCTTATCACTTCAGTGATTTTCACTATGACCTTCAGACTAGCATTAAATTTCCTATGCTTTATGGCTGGTGTATCATAACTCATCTTCACCTTGTCTTGCTTTTGTTACATTGCTATCGACGTCAGGTTTAAGCAACTTAAACCTTGTCCTAGGAATGTGTGTAAACAGTAATTTGAAAGTTAAGCAATCTGTTATGGCGTTATTCTGTACAAGAACAGAAAATTCAGCTTTTGTCGAAGAGAAACATGGGAATTCAAATCAGAGGGTCATACAGCACGGAAACAGACCATTACTGCCTAGCTTGTCAGTTAGAAAATACTCCTGCAAAGATCTCTTCACAATAAAAATTCTACATTAAAGTGCAGCTGACTTTATCATCATTTAGAAATTAAATCACAATAATACTTCCCATGGAATTTCAGACAGAAACATAACATATTAAACAAAATAAGGAGGAAACTACCTTGCTTATTTGTTAATAAAACATTTGAGGATTCTGACTGAATGGGTGACTTAAGTCTTTCAAATAATCTATCAAACAAGGTAGCATAACATTATTTATATTAAGAGTGTACAAACCTGCATAGTGTTCACATTGTGTAGCCACGGAATATTTTGGTCAGTACTTAGAACTATCAGCAGGTCACAATAGCAACTGAGGCCTCTGCACTGGAACTAGAAAAACTACACCAGAACTGAGTCTCTATGTGCTCTTAGGCCTCTTTTAATATGGTATATGTTAATAGGTTCTGAAATCTGGGGAGTATCAATCAGAATGATTCTTTTTTAAATTGGGATCTACTTTTTGTCATTGGTTCATAAAACAAGGATGCGAAGGCATCTCTTTGGAGACTGAACCCTCAAAAGAAATTCCACGAATGAAAACTCCAAAGAAAGGGCCCCTGCAAAGCAATTAAATCTCTTGCAATGAATATGTTTCTGGGATTGTCCAGACAATCTTAGCTTAATCTGACTGGCAAAAACTGCCACCATTGAAACTGGCGTGGCCTTCAAAATGTTACTGTTCCTGTTACCATCTTAACCTTCAACTGGACAAGATACTGCTCGATTTGGGTGAATTAATACTGGCAGCACAGGGTCCTGTAATATCATTAGGACTTCGATGTCATTTTGACCTCCTACAGCTGCCTTGCTAAGTGAAATGTGGTCTGTAGGAAGAAGAGATCCTTTAGTTAATTGTTAATTTTCTTCAGTGGGCCCAAAGAGGAATAGGAGTGCTCCTTCAGCCACATAAAAGACCTCTACCAGTGCAGGATCTTCTACCCAATCCCTACACCTGTCTGCACTGTAAAACCTCTGGTGTGTGAATCATCCACAGGAACCATGTATAACTCTAAATTTATGAAGACAACATGAATTGTGATCACTGATATATTTATCCTTATGGTTTGTGGGTAATAGATCCTTTGATGAGACTAAATCTGATTCGAGTCATCACTTGAACACAATAATAAATTATTTGTACTGATAATATGACTGCAAAATTAATTTCACATTGTAAACCAAAATCTCGACCATAGATTCAATGGCATCTTGATTTGGCTTACCTGTTGGAACCGTCTCAAAATCACCCAGCTTGGACGCACAGTCAGTGTACAGATAGGTCCTGGTGGAGTGAAAGGGATGAACAGGGGCCAGCAGCAGTCCACATTACTGCTTTGGAGAAAGGAGAAGTGCCCTTCCTCCAGATTAAGGTAAGTAAAATAACAAAAGCTTACTGTTCTTTGGTGGCGTCTACTAAATAGTGCTTTAAACACCATTAGTAAGGTTGCTGTAGATTTCAAATAAATTATATACCAGAGATTTAGCTAAATTAATCATTGAGGTATTAAAATTACAAATAGCCATCTGATTGGCAGGGTGCACCAAACACAAATTAGCCCAGAAATTAGTGCTCAACTTATTTTTCACTGAAATATAGGGCACAACTGGGAACTATGGCTTCCCAGGCTGACTTTTCTCCAATCCTACTTCTTTCTCCCTGCCTTCAGAAGTATCCTGAAAACTTATCTTGCCTATAAAGCCTCTCTTCAGATCTTAACTCTCCTGCAGATGGAATCCATCCCTCTTATTGCTGTAAAACACCTTGGAGTGTGTTTTTCTTTTCATTACTGGCACTGGATAAATGTAAGTTACTCATTATTTCACCATCTGCACATTTGCCATGGCAATCAGATCAGTGAATACAGACGTTACAATTTCTGCAAACTGTCTGTTTCTTAGATTTATAAATGCCTTATTATCGAGTTCTGGTGAAAAAAGGACACTTGATAATCAGAATTCTCTGTGGTCAAATTTTAAAAAATCTGAAACCCAACATAAATCAAATGAAGGAAAAAAAGATTTTTGACAAACACTAACAGTTAGGTTATAAAATCAATGTATTGAGTTATGTTGTCTGTTTTATGTGATGCAGCAGACATGTCTCAGCCATGTTGCAATGAGAAGAAAAAATGTATCACAGAGAGGTCAGCTTTATAGAACTTCTGCAGACAATCGCTTCAAATGATCCACTG